CTAAACCATAAACCCTAAACTCTAGGCCTGAGTTTTGAAGTTGGACCCTCTGCGAGAGGAAAGGCAAAGGTGTCACGCCTCCACCAGGACTGGCCATGTATTGCGCCACCAGCGTCCGCCTTGGCTTACTGGTTCCCCTTACTTGCCTTTGGTTAGCAGGGTTAAGGGCTTAAGAAGGAACGGAAAAGAGCATGGAAACCCCCTAATACCTAAACCGCGTAATGCGTCATATAGGGACCACTATAAGGATCCATTCCTTCATTCCTAGCTAACCAGAGGCCAGAGTAGGGAATAAGGGGTTGTACTACCTATATACACCAACCCCTATATGATATACAAGCTTCTTTTCTGCTAAGAACCAATAGGAAATAAGGGGCTAGAATCTTATGATACCTATAAAATCCCCATACAACTTATCCTAAAAATTCAACCCTAAAACCTTCTTCCCTGCTAAGAGCCAGTAAGGTGAAACTCAAGACATTGGCAGATGCAAGATGAAATTCAGCAGGACCTCCCAGGATCCTACGCAAGTCCTATTTCTGGGTACTTGGGCTCAATAGAGGCTACCTGGAGAATTTAGGGTTTAGGGTTTACGATTTTCCTGAAAACCTGAGAGACCTCTCTATGGCAGTGTGGCAACAAGCTTGGAACACAGCACCTAAGCCAAAGCCCTAAACTTAAAGTTAGAATATCGGGATACGTCTAGGTCTTTCTCAGTCTCCTTCATCCCAGGTAGGGTTGCGCATGGGCTTCTTTGGCTTTAGTGGGTAAACCTCCATGCTTCGTAAATTGAAAGTCTACGGTGGATTCCTAAAGAACGAGCCCAAAACGGAACTGCCTTAGCGGTTGCAGATAAGCACCTGCAACCCTCAGAAACCCCATCCAAACCATTCTTAGGGTTTAGGGTTTAGGGTTTAGGGGTTTAGGGTTTAGGGACCCTAAACTGTAAATCATAAACCCTATGCCCCAGACTGTGGGCAGAAACCTACGCCCCACTTTGTGCAGGTGGAACACGCCAAGTCCAGCTGATGTCTTGCGTTCACCATGGCCAGAGCAAACAGAAACTCGGAGATCTGCAACACAAGGAAGGTCTATCAAGCGGGATTATCTTGGAGCTGAGGGTATGAAGCCTAAGGCTCAAAATACCCGAAAGCTTTTCATAGTATGGTCTTTGGGTCCAAAAGCTTTAAACTATGCGTCCTTAGAGCCTTAGGGTTAGCGTATAGGATCTGGCTTGGACGCACAATGTAGACCCGTGATTGATAAACCCCCTGCGTGTAAAGGCCGTAATACTAGGATCCCTCTTATAATGCCTATTCAAGGGAGGCGGTTTATAAATCATGGGCCTACATCATGTTGGAACCCAGGGCCTGGGAAGCCCTTTTTAGGGACAACAGTACCTATAAAGAGCGCGCTTATGCTGATTATGCACGGATGCTTATTTGAAGTCGCACCTGGAATCAGTTGAGTCTGGGGTCTAGTTGGAGGCTCCTGGGACTTGATGGTGTTTGGGAACCAGTGGCTGAAGGGTTTAAGGCTCTCCTAGATCCCACGGAATCTGTATCTGCTGCACAAAAAGGTATGAGGGGTCCCCGCCCTGTAATTGTTCCAAGAGAGTCCAATGCCCTAAACCCGTAACCCGAAAGAGTCCAAGTGCCCGATAATCATGTGCTAGGGAGCTGGGCGACAGCACTTCCAGTACAGATTTTGGGGTCCGTATAGTATAGGACGAACGGGTAGACAGAATCTTAAACACTCTAATTCAGTTCTTTTTTTTCGATACCTTGGGTCGCGGTCAGGCAAGATATGATACTACAGGGGCCGAAATAATTACCAATATCATTTTGAGGTCCATTTGAGGTACCATATACATTATACAAGGAATATGAAACCATAATATTGGTACGTGGCACTTAGGACCCCTACTAAGGGTTAACCCTCAGGTACCTATAACAGGAATCTAAGGGAATCCCAAAGAGTTAAGGGTCTAAGGTCCAAGCTAAGTCCCAAGGAGATTGGTAATTATTCAGGCCCTTACAGTACAAGCAAGGTACCCCGGCAACAGAACTGCATTAATGCGTCTAGGTCAACGCTGGAGCACAGAAAGCGCATAAACCCTAAATGTGAGAAAACAACTCAATGTCACAACTCCACGCTTGGAGCGACGTCTTGTTTTACAAAGATCTGAACCCCCCCCCTCTGACCCCCAAACTCGAAGCCGTAGACTCCAAATCGCACCACAGAGAACCTACAACTCCGTTTTCTAAACCAGCTAAACCCTTCAACCCCTAAACCCTTCAACCCCTCAACCCTAAGCCCTTTCAACCCCACAACACTAAACCCTAAACCCTAAACCGCTCAACCCCGAAGACCCTGCATGCCCAAGACGACCGCCTGAGATCCCACCAGACGGTGCAAATCCGGCCTGCGCCATCTGAAGTAGGTTTAGGGTCTAGGGTTTAGCGCTTAGGGTTTAGGGTTTAGTGCTTAGGGTTTAGGGATGTGCTTGGAAGCCCGTGGATACTTACAATTCATCTGCTTATGAGAAGATTGGAGGTTTAGGGGTTTTCCGGAAGGATGCACGTAGAGTAACCTATGTGTGTACACGAGCATGGTTTGTGGCTACTGCTATGGTATCTGTACCTTTTCTTGGAAGTTTTACTCTAAGTAGAGTGTAGGGTGCACATGAAAACACTGGATAGAGGAGATGGTACGGTAGAGTATCTTGAAGAGCCTGGGGCCCCCTCGGGTTCAAAGTTCAAGACCCGCAAAGCTTAAAGCCCAGTGTTGCACCTCTTGCTTAGGTACTTTCACCCTGTCTTAGGGTTCGAAGCTACGCTAGACAGACTACAAACTCAGAGCCCTAAAGGTATGCAAAACATCAATATGCCATGAACCCTATCATCAAGGAAAAACAACGTAGACCCAGGATTAATAAACACCCTCCTTTTAAGGGCCTAATACTAGGATTCCTCATGCTTATTGAGTTACGGGACCATGTTCGGGCTTGGGGCTTTTTGGGGGTTTAGAGTTTGGATGAATTTTGTTGGGGTGCGTGGTCTGAAGTTCAGAGGTTCGGGTCTACAGTCTGAGGTTTTAAGCTTGGGTCGTAGGGTTCCTGCGTCTACCAGAAAAGATGCCTTGTTGTCGGCTTCTATTGGAACCCGACTGCCGATACCGAAATTCTACATACGTTTTCGCCCCAACACCATGAGATCCTGCATGACTTTTAGGTAACAAACAAGAAATTCACAAACTTCTAGGTCTTGCTGTTCATCATGATTACAGATCCTCCCTGAACCCCAAGCCCTAAGCCTTAAACTGCGCAACCTTGGGAACTGAAGGAGTTGAAAGGAACCCTAAAACCTAAATCCCCAAACGGCTACATTGAGGTTTCTCTAGGGGCCATAAGGCACATATCCCTCCCTCCGTTCCTTACTTGAAGCCTCAGGGGACTAGTAAGTAGGTTTGTTAGAAGTCCCCAGATTGGGGTCAGTCTGCTTATGTTATAAGACCCTGTATAACTTGCTGCCTTAAACCCTAAACCATCCTAAACCTTAAACCCTAAACCCAGCAAGTTTCCTAAGCCCCGGGGTACTGGCAACCACCCAGTTGGTGGCTTGACCCGGCCCGGTTTGGGAGTCTTTTTGATGCGGACTATATTTTTGGGGTTGGTGAGGGAGCCCACATTGCAGGCATGGACCCAGAACATGAGTCTATTGTGCTTTGTGGGGAGCGGAGCTTGGCGAACGAGGATGTCGGTGGAGCTGAGGTAGTAGTACCTGTACAGGGTTTCTTCTGTGGGCTCGCCTCCGCGGTCCCATGTAGTGTTGTGCTCGAGGAGGACTCCACCACTTATGCGAAACTGAGCGGCTGCGCAAAGGGCATTGACCATACTGCTTCATGCTGTCGTGGACGGGATGGTTTGGGATCTTGATGCTGCGCCAATCCACCGCATAAAGGTCAATCTCCACGAGGAACGTCAGGGGAGCTTGGTTTCCCCTACACTTGGAATGGTCACATGGGCAATGTATAGAATTCTAATTATGACTTTGAAGCACTTTGTACTACATACTTACAGAAGGACATGGTAATCCTACTTCTTCTACATCACGCACAATTCGCAGCGTATGCACGCCAAAGTGGCACGGCTCCAAGTACATGGACAGCCCATGCAAGAACCATAACTTCGACCCAAACCTTCCCAGCGACGGCTGAATTTCCTAAACCCGCCTGTACTCATGAATGGGAGCAAAATAGGGTCGCTACTTTTGGTTTGTTTGCTTAATAGGGGGTAGTTGGTTGGGGCCATAGGCATCTGAACAGACAGTTGGAGTTCTTGCGTAGTCCGACAGTTGGAGTTCTTGCGTAGTCTGTTAGTATGATCGGCAGCGTCAAGTTTTAAAAGCTGATGACCCTAAACCCTAAACCCTGAGCCGTTAAGCTCCAGACCAGCAACCTTTAAGCTTGTTTGTTTTACACTGGCACCCAAACCGAAATGACCCAAGTCTAAACTCCCAGTATCCCCCGTAAGTAGTAACCCCTATAACATAAGGTTGGGGGTTTAGGGTTGAGGGTCTAGTATCCTCCTTCATCATCCCTACAGTAGTCCCCTAATATAACCCCCCTCGAAGGAGTTTAGACCATGGCTCAAATGAAGCCAAGTGAGGACGACTGACAAAAGGTTGAACCCGAATGCTACGGCAGCTACCTTCACAGGCGATAAAAGAAGAGCCTCTATGGATATTCTTCTTGGTTGCAGGTTAAGGACTTAAGGTTTTGCCTGTAAGGATTTAGGCTTGGGGGTTTAGGGCTTGGGATTGCTTCAGTCTTACCGTTGGGAGTTTAAGATCAACAAAAAGCATCGTGGATCCTACGCGTTGCTTTAACCTATTCAGTTCTGGGAGTACATTTGACAGGATAAGCTCCCCCCCAACAAGGTGTTCATAATTATGGTACTTCGCATAAACAAGGGGACCCCGCTATAGAACCCCACATCCTATGACCCTTATCTCTCAGGGTCCAAGTACCCAATAATCATATACTTGCCCGAAGTCTGTACTAGAACTACTCTTACCAATATTCCAAAAACCTAATTATTGGGTACATGAACCTTTAGGGCATTATATTGTTGATGGAAGAAATCTTTCACCTAGAGCCCCCCCAAAGCAGTGCAATTCCTGGGATTTTTGAGACCCGGGATGGTGGTAGATTTCCTCCATCAACAGGGTTTAGGGTTTAGGGGTAGGTACCCCCAAAAAGGCACCCCGCAGTTTTAGGAAAGCCCCATATTGAGTTACCATAGTATTGGCCCCATGATGTTGGCTGTATGCTTCCTCAAACCGATGTTGCGTACCTCCAAGGCAAGGAAAGTGAAGCCACAAGTGAAGCCCATAAGGACATGGACTCCAAGTTAGTACTTACCCTACCTGGATCAGTGTAGGGTTTTGGGTTTAGATTTTAGGATTTAGGGCGGGGGGTGGGTTCTTTTCATGGTAAGTGGAACCCCTTGAGAGCTGGCATATCTTGACCCATACAGCCTATACCAGCACCCTAACCCTAAACCCTGAGCCCTAAGGCCTAAACACTAAACCCTAAAGCCCAAACCCTAAATCCTATGTCACACCCTAAACCCTAAGCCCCTCGCCCTAAATCCCAGCACCCCTTCGCCCCAAATCCCAAGATCGAAGCCCGACAGGCCAACTTGAATCCAATAAAAGGCAAAAGGCGAGACAAAAAAGTCCAGCTCTTCAATTAGGGTTCAGGGTTTAGGGCTTAGGGCGTTTGTTTTACGGTACGGGTTTAGGGTTTAGGGCTTCGCGTTCAGGGCTTAGGGTTTAGGGATTCCTAGCTAATCCATCTCAGTGTCATTTCAGGACAGGATTACACCCTAAACCCAGAACCCCAAAAGCCTAAACCCGAAAACGCACCCCAAGCCCCAATCCGATCATTCAGGGCCCTAGAACCCTTTGATCTGTTCCGACGCCCATGCGCCTCAGAGCATCGACAAGTTCATCGACATTGCTCTGAGCCAGGAACCTGCTTCAAATCAGCTTCCACGCCTGCCCTTTAC